GGGGGGTAGGGAGCAGTACTTCCTGCCTTCTGCTCTGGATAAAATAGTTACTGAAATGCTCAGGACAGGCTTGTTGAACCCAGAGTGGGATCTGAGTAACTTCCTCTCATGATGGCAAACAGTGCTAAAATTAAAGGCATTCTGGAATACAGATTTTCTCTTAAAGGTAGATAGTGGCTCTAAGACTTAGAAAGTTGAGAGCTCTCTAAACCATAGTACTGCTGATCTTACAAACCTGTTTGTTCCCCCAACAGGAGCCAAAAAAAGACGACATCTTTTCAAGAGGACATACATGTACTCAAAAGCTAAATACTCTTTTGAAGGTTTGGCAGAAACATGATAGGCTGAACAGGCAATGGAAGTAAATTTAGCCTTTTGGGCCCTTGGAATCTTGCAAACAGTAAGCAGGCTCAAGATTCTAGTGACATGTCGAGTGTGATTATTGTACACACTTTTTTGGTGTTTTTCAAGACGGTTCTCTGTAACCCTGGCTGTCCTGAACTCACTGTGTGTGTGTGGTGCAGGTGGATCTCTGAGTTCATGGCCAGTCTGGTCTATAGATCGAGTTTCAGGACAGCCAGGTCTACACAGAGAAACCCTGTCTTGAAAAACAAAAACAAACAAAAAAAAAGATTCTAAGTACAGAGGTTATTCTCCATGAGCTAGAAGGATAATTTTGAGGGTGGACCCAGCAACTTAGAGGACAAAGCCAGGAGCCGAGTCTGGCCCTGGGGATAGAGATAAGATCTACTTGGGACTGCTTACATGGCATGTGCTGATGGGATTTCATGACTGTAGCATTGCTGTGAACTGGCCACCAGAGAGCATGTTCTCTTCTAGTATGCAAGCAGTGGATGGGGGAAGTAAGTAAGTAGGCTGTAACTGGGTTTTTACCTGGCAGCCGTAACTCGCTGCATTCCCACCTGGTGACCAGCAAGCCTCAGCAGTGTGATTTGCTGACTGGAATGAGCAGGCAGGAAAGCGTGGAGCCCAGGGAACGATTCAGACTCAGGTTTAGCAGTGCCTGAAGCAACTAGACCTTGCCATAAGTTCTAAAAATGCCTTTTTTGTTGTTGTTTTTTTTTGAGACAAGGTTTGTCTGTGTAGCTTTGGTACCTGTCCTTGGAACTAGCTCTTGTAGACCAGGCTAGCCCGGAACTCAGAGATCCGCCTCTGCCTCCCGAGTGCTGGAATTAAAGCTGTGTGCCACCACCACCTGGCAAATATGTCTTTTATTTTTTGAGACAGGATTTTCCTAGATAGCTCTGACTGGCCTGGATCTTACTCTATAGATCAGGTTGACCTCAAACCCGCAGCAATCCACTTCCCACCTCCATAAAGACTCTACACCTGGCTCTTAATTTTTTGAATGCTTTTATCTTACACAGCAAGAAAATCCATCTTCAGACTTCAGGTCTCGCTCCTCAATGCTGGTAATATAATCTAATATTTTCTATATGAATTTTTATTTGAATAACCAGTTAGCTAAGAACTAAGTTACATTTTAATTTATTTGTGTGTGGTGTGTGTGTGTATTCTGAAAATATGTGTTATTGTGTGCATGTGGAGGTCAGAGAAAAGCTTCCAGGAGTTGGTTCTCTCACTCTGGATTCTGGGGACAGAACTGAGGTCATCTGAGCAACATGTGCTGTTACAGGCTGAGCCATCTCCCTGGCCCTAGTCGTCTTGACTCTTCAACATAGAGCCAAGAAGTGTCAGAACTAAATTAAGTTGGTCCCAGCATGATTAATTCTTCACAATTCCAGGCAGATTGCTATCTTGTCTCTCTCTGTGTCTCGGGGTAGACGGGTCAGCTTATCGGGGTTGTCATCCCACAGCCTCTGGCTGGCTTTCTTTATTGTGAAGCTGTCCTTGTTTCTGGTTGTTGTCAGGATCCTGCTTTTTTAGCAGCTGCTGAATTGCTAACCTCTTTGTGTCTTTGGGAAGCTGTCTGTTGAGACTCCTCAGTGAGTCGTCAGCTCTCTACTGGAACCTAAGGAGTTTCTGAGCTCATGGGGCCCAGGTTCCTCTCTCCATCATAGATCTAACTGGTCTATGGGACTGTTATTATAACTGGGCAAATGACATCCCTTGTAAATTGGCATGTGGACTTGTCTACTTTGGATCTGCCCTGGTGTATCTGTATAACTCAATATATTTAAGAATGCAGAGGCTTTTTTCTTTGTTGTTTTAAACTTTTATTACTTAATGTGTATGGGTGTTTGCCTGAATGCATGTGTACCATGTGGAGGACAGAAGAGGGCATCAGATCCCCTGGAACTAGAGTTAGAGATGGTTGTGAGCTGCCATGTGGGTCCTCTGCAAGAGCAGCCACTACTCTTAACTGTTGAGCCATCTTTCCAGCCCCTGCTGTTTTTTTGTTTTTGTTTTTTGTTTTTGCTGACTTTAGACATAAGCCACTTTATAAAAGTCGTACTTTAAAGATGCATTAGAGCAGAGCAGAGCACTTGGGAGGTGGAAGCAGGAGAACCTGGAGATCAGGAGGTCTAGGTTAGTTTCAGGTACATGAGACCCTAGCTCAATAAAACAGCAAAGATATCTTGATATTTTCAGGGGGAAAAAAATCTTTCTCTGGGTAGGAGTGAGTGCAGGAAGCAAAGCTACATATATGATTCTCTAAGGACTTGATGGCTGAGGGCCCAAGACTGGCCCTCATTAGTATCTTCCTTGGGCCTGTCATACAAAGAAGCTTTCCATGTGGTGAGACCTTTCCTTCTCTCCTAGCCTGGCTCCTTGTGGCTCCTTGTGGCTGTGTGGCTTGCCTTTAGATCTACATTTATAAAATCAACATAATAATATAACATCCCCCTCTCCTGGGAGGTACCAGGAGGTGCCAGGGGGTGTTAATGCCCAGAAAGACTCTTTGGTGCCTCTGAAACCCTGTGTGTTTCTCAAGCTGTAGGGGAAAATGCAGGTATGACCTGGTGGCCAGCCTCCTTGGCACACTGCACTCCTGTTTGTTTGTTTGTTTTTTCGAGGCAGAGTTTCTCTGTGAAACAGCCCTGGCTGTCCTGGAACTCACTCTGTAGACCAAGCTGGCTTTGAACTCACAGAGATCTGCCTGCCTCTGCCTCCCAAGTGCTGGGATTGAAGGTGAACTGCACTTCTAAAATAAAAGCACGGCACACCATACTCCTGAAGTCAGAACACTGCATTCTGAAGTAGCATGCTGGTAGCTGACCCATGGACAGGTCTGCACTCTCCACATCTTTAATGTGCTTCTTCCTCTTAGAGACCCTGGTGGTATGAGCGCTCACTGTCCAATCTGAGGTAACGTGCTAACCAATCACAGTCAGTGGGCTTCCACTGTATATGTGGTTGTTCGTGTGCAATAAAGTAGACTCCTGTTCCCTGAACCCGTCTCTGGTATGGTTTATCTCACTGTATATGTGGTTGTTCATGTGTAATAAAGCAGACTCCTGTTCCCTGAATCTGTTTCTGGTATGGTTTATCTCTGTGCCCTTTATGAACCCATGGCGTTGCTGTCTTGTCCAGGATGCCCTGGTAACCAGCACCCAGTCCCTTACAGACCCGGGTAAGCATGGTCTCCAGGGGTGACAGCAAAGAGTAAGTGTTGTGGAATATTATTTTAAGATGTGTTACATTTGCTTGTGCTA